TTATAAACTGATAGATATCGTCTATTCCTGAGCAATGTGGAATTAATCTGAAAGCGTCTTCTAATTTTATGGTTACTGACATTTTTTTAGTGCGTGGTTTAGATACAAAATCTAACGACTGATGTTCAAAACTATCTGTAACTTGGCTACGTGTGACTACTCCTGGACTTGAGTTTCTACTTGCGCTATCTCCTAACTGAGTTTCTATTATAACATTCAACTGGGCTTTCTGTTGGGCTTCTAACTGGGCTTCTTCTACTACACTAGTGTCATACAATGAATTAGCTACGTTCAAGGGAGATGTACCTTTTTCGTCCATAAATTACTTAGCTACCTATTTAATACGTTAATACTCATGATAATAATACTCAAAAATAATTCAATAATGCCCTATAAATACAATAATAACTTTAATAATGTGACCTTTAATAAATTCACTAAACCTCAATAATACTTTATAATAAAAGCGCCATCAATAAATCAATAACTTTAATAATATTTCAATAATAAAATGTCCTCAATAGATCAATAAATTTCAATAACAATAATAATATGCCCTCAATAAATCAATAAACTTCAATAATACTTCAATAAATAAATGTCCTCAATAAATTCAATAAACTTCAATAATAATCAATAATAACTTTAATAAAAACATGCCCTCAATAATAAACTTCAATAATTAATAATATACCCTCGATAAATTCAACAATATTCAATGATAATCAGTAAAATATGCCCTCAATAATAAACTTCAATAATTAATAATATACCCTCAATAAATTCACCAATATTCAATGATAATCAGTAAAATATGCCCTCAATAAATTTAATAAAATATGCTCTTAATAAATTCAATAATATATGCCCTCGATAAAATTAAAACGTTTTACACCATTACACTTATAGTCAACTACTTAGAATTATCTAATATGTCCTAATTATGTTGCATATGCCTTATGTAACAAATTAAAATAATTATTCACTCACAATAATGCTGTGTTCCTGGTTGCTGATGACATGTTGACGGTGCTGATGGATTTGTTGGTACTGCGACGTGACTTATTTGTTTTTGTTGGTTTCTCCTGGAGTTGTCTTCGCTGAAGAGTGATCAATTCCTCGTTGTTGACAGTAGCCTTTGATGGTTCCCTCCCTTTGTGGAATCCAATACCGACTGCGCCAGTGTTACATGCGGCCCTTCAGGGATCCAAAAGCTGGTGTACTTTGATAAATAATAATAGTCAATTAGTATGGTAATCAAATGTATTATATTAAACCAGACAAAAATAAGCAGAATAATAGTGTTGATTGTAGCGAATTGTAGCTTGTTCCGAAGTTGATAATCTCCGTGTAAAGTTGTGTGCAATTGCTGGTGCATAAGCTGCTGTCTCGGTCTTGGCGGCTCTGGTACATCTAATTTGTATTGAGGCCCTAGCCTCTATATATACGAATATACGGAGGCGACGCCCTTTGAATTGAGCGGCGCGTGGCATGTAGGCGCCCTTGGGAAGTTGTTGTTGTTCGAAGCGTTTATTCTAGCTATGACCACTTTTGGGTGCGGTCGACGAGGCCGCTTTCTACATAAGTAGTACTTGTTATTGTGAGCGTTGTACATGAATTGCGTAATCCCATTACAAGTGTCACTAGACCATGATAATTGATAAAGATATAATATGATAATATAACAATATTTCAGATTGAGGAAGATGTATGGTCTCTCATTATACTGTCCAGAATTATGTGCAGATAGGTGGACCAGAATGTATTACCAAGATGTATGTAGGGTAATTCCTTCAACAACTATGCCCAATAATATAGAGCAAAACAGTGTTAACGTAGTCACTGTTGGCACAAAAAAAAAACGTATATTTAATCAGCACGAAAAATACCAGCAAGCATATGTTCAAGCCAAAAGATTGGCTTCTTTGGCCTCCGAGGCTTCTGGGACAGCGTTTCAAAAACGTATAAAATTACTCAACTACATCGCCAATGCTTGGGAGAAAAATTAAGAAGTTGAACTAGGTACAAAGGTTATAGTTATAGGTTATGGTTATAGTTATAGTTACATAGGTTTGGAATTTACATAAAAATGTTTATTTTATAGTATATAATACATAATAAATATTTTACTCTTTAGATGATTTGTTTGATCAAGAAGTGAATGAAAACATTGAAAGTGAAACTGAAGATCCTCAAGAGTTGGTACTAAATGAGAATCAAGAGTTGATGCTAAATGAGCCTCAACAGTTGGTGCTAAATGAGCCTCAACAGTTGGTGCTAAATGAGTTACCAATACTACCACCTAGGATTTCAAAAAGGGGCCTTCCAAAAGGTAATTCTAAGTTTTTAATTAAGGTTTATTATTTCACTTACTTAAACCACAATATAATATGTAGGTAATGACAAGACAGCAATTGGCATTCCAAAAAAAAAGGAAAGTGGATTCAGTTGGGTTGGTTTGTTTTCAAAAACTGCAATTAAAAATAAAACAATCTGAAATGTTAAAATGGTTAGTAGACGAAGAGTTGGCAATGCTTGCAATCAATACGAACAAATTTATCAGTGAAAGTAATGTTGAATGCATACCAGAAAGAGTACCAAGTGCAATAATTGACGAAACTATAGCTGTAGGAGAAATTAAACAATTTTTTACAACAGATGGATGGACTGCTGTCCAACAAATTATTAATGCCAAAAAACAACGTGCAACTTGGGTTTGTCCTGTTTGTTCAGAAGATGCTTAAACAAAATCCATTTGCTGCAATCGCTGTTTTGAATGGTCTCATTTTATATGCGCAAGAGTAAATGAGAATGTGAAATCAAAACAGTGGTTTTGTACTATTTGTAAATTAGCAGCCAAATAATTTTATAATAACGTGATTTTTTCAAGTGTTTAATCTTAATTGTTAACGTACGTTACCACCGTAAGTGTTTAACGTGATTTACTTTAGTGTTAGGTTAGGTATAACTTATAATATAGTATTTTACTATATTATAATATCATAGTATAAGGAATAAGAAGTATGTTCAACGCGACGGTGTCGCGAATATACCCAGAAAATAGTAGATTATGTTGGTAAGTCGGAAGTCCCATGATTATGTATAATAAATCAAAATATTAATTAGTTATTAAATTAGGTTATAAACTTATAAATAATATTCTGTGCAGAAATGTTGTTATATTATCATATTATATCTTTATCAGTTATCATGGTCTAGTGACCCTTATCAATTACGGTAATTGATATCAGAAGTACTATCAGTATTAATATTACGTCTAATCAGGTGACAGGACGTGAAAATACATAGTTTTACGTCGGACGTGAAAATAGCCACTAGTTAATAATACACGCGATTAGTGTGACGTCACAAATGTTATCAATCCTTATCAATAGAGACTGCTGGATCCAAACAAACGAAAGTTTATATATTAAAATGCAGTTATAATAATTTATTTAATTATTTCGGTATTAGTTAATTTATTAAAAGTTATATTTGAACTCAACTCACAGTATACTGTACTATTCATTGATTGGTGAGCAGATTTTATTATTTAAAATGCTTTTCTTGGTACTAAATATGAAATCTAAATATGTTGTCAACTATTGTTATTACTCAAATTAAATTTTTACGGAAAAAGATATTACTTACCTGGCATGAATAATTATGCTTTTGCTTACAAATCGAACATTAAATATTTTTAAATCCACATTTTATCTTTAAATTAAATTGATAGACTGCTTTTAATTAACAAATCATAAACATATTTGATGGGTCCTTACCTATACCCACCTACTATGTTACTATGTTCATTTTGATTTATGATTTAATGCAACATATTTAAAATCTATTTGTCAATCACAAATCATAATATAGTATCTAGTACTAGCTACTTAAAATATGCATGTTTTGGAAATGTAGAAATTTTGGTATTGTGCTGGGTTGTTGGATGTTGCCATTACAACGAAAAGATTGCTGCAAATTCTATCGCTTTCCAATAAATTTGAAAGAAAAAAAAATGGATAAAGTTGATAAGGTGCTTAAAAAACAATTGTAATATTAGTTAATTATTTTAGTTAAATCTATAAAATTAATTTACATTCTATAGAAGAACTGATGGACCTAAGACAGGAACTCGCGTATGCAGCTGTCACTTTGTAGAGGGTAAAAAAGAAAATGGACCAACAATCCTCCCACATCGTCCTCATCAGTTTGGTACACATCACTTGACACATGAGAAAAAAAAATTTCGTAAAACCACACAAACTATATCACATAATATGCTAGATATTATGGCAGATGATGAAGTTTTGTGTGAGAACAGTGACAAAATTAATCCTGAATATGAAATTAATAATGATGTACTAGATTTATAATTGAAACCAATATTGAATTCAAGGTTTGTAAATATGTTGGCATAAAAGTAAACTGTTTATTTATTTCCTTATTTTTTTTTTTAATGTGTTTTACAGTTTAAAGTTGAACGATAATAACAATGCTTCAAATGGTTCAATAGTTTTAGAAGTTTAAAATTATTTCCTCCAAAAAGAAAATGAAGCAATGAAAATTGAACTAAGACATTTAGGAATAAAATTTAATTATGCAAATTTAAATCAAAATGATGAACTGTTAAATTCTTACACTGGTTTACCTTCAAACTCAGTGTTTCAAGCGCTTTATAATTTAGTAAAACCATTGAATATTGAATATCATTTAATGTGGTCTGTGGAAAGCATCAATAAAGAAGATCAAATATTCATAACCTTAATGAAGTGGAGGCATAATTTTCCACATTTTGATCTAGCAGTCAGATTTAACTCTAGTAGTGCTACTACCACAAATATTGTTATAACGTGGATTAATATTTTACATCAAGTATAATTCAAAAAATGCATGAGTAAAATACCATCTAGAGAAAAAAATAAATTGTGTATGCCCAATGCATTCAAACCATTTTTAAATTGCCGAATTGTTATTGATTGCACTGAGATTTTTACTGCTGTTTCTTGCCAATCTATGAATATCCAAAAAAGACACATACAGCAATTATAAACACAGGAATACTTGGAAAGCTTTGATTGGAATCGCTCCAAACGGTGTAGTTACATTTGTGAGTAAATTATTCCCTGGGTCAACTTCTGATAAAGTGATAACTTTAAAAAGTGGACTTTTGGAACAGCTAGTTCCAGGTGATCTAATTCTAGCAGATAAAGGGTTTCTAATTAGAGATATATTACCACCAGGAGTATCATTGAATATCCCTCCATTTTTAGACACTCCACAATTTACTCCTGATCAAGTAGTACAGACTGAAACAATAGCAAAAGCTAGGATACATATTGAAAGAGCAATTCAAAGAATTAAATGCTACTCAATACTAGATGTTATTCCTTTTTCGATGCTTAAACAAGCAGAAAGTATTTTTCAAGTGGTTGCGGCGTTAACAAATTTGCAGCCTCCACTTATTAAAGAAATTCAAACCCACATGTGACAGTTTTAATATTATAATTACCTTAATTAATTAACACTTATAGTTTTGGCTATACTTTTAACTAAAAAAAAAAATATTAATAAAATAATACACTTGCTACTTATGATGAATTAATTGTATTTACCTTAATAATAAATATAGAATTATAATATTTAACATCATTAAATAAATTATTTATAAATTATTTTCTATTAAATATGGTATATACTGACACGGTACGCAGCGGCAACCAGTACAAAGTACAGGTACCGCAGCGGCCGGTCTACGCTTTTGTCAACCGCCACCACGGGCTACAGCGCGACATCGCCAACTCTCCCACCGCGCCACAAAGGCACAACGCGGGACGGGAAGGCAAGTCGCGCAATACGAGTACCGGCGGCCGGCAATTCGCTCTCTCGACCGCCAACGGTTCAACGTTACACACGTTACTTCTTTTTTTTTGTCAACTATCCGTACACCGTGTATTGACCCAACCACACCGTGCTTTAACAGCTACCCACGATACCGTCGATTATCTGTTTGTTGTAATTACCACGTTGTTGCCGTTATATAGTTGGTGTGAAAATAAAAACGTATTTCTCAACCTCAGACGCATTACATTTGTTTTTTTTTGTGATCACTCCT